TCGCACCTCCGACAATGGCCCTGGTGTTTGGTTAACGTCCTGGGAAATAGAGTGGCTATCCGCTCCGCCCCAACGACCATCACGAAATCGCAAGCCGGCCCACCCAATCGTCCAGTCCACCCGATGATCAAGTCCTTGCACAGACTTGGCTGCGCCCATGATCGTTAAGCGTTGACGGAGAACTCTCGCTTTTGTACTCGCGCGTTTTCAATGACTCCAAAACAGTGAGCGCAAAATGGAGGTTCTTCCCACACCACTTTCAATAATCTAGACCGCATGCTCATCCTGCCTACCCATAGTTCAAGTCTTCTACGCGTAAGTCATGGTAAGACGTAGACAAGTGCAGATAAGTGAGCACGAAAAGAATGTTCTTCGTCTTCCTCACATAGGTATAAGTACGATGGATTCAGGAAAATTGAGGAGTTGTAACTCGCGACCTTCAGTGATAGGCCTTTTCATACTAACGCTGCTTTGAAAAGTCCGAGCAAATCGTATTCCCTTAGGAGGCCGGCCGTAGTACGACGGAGAGACACAGCGCTGCGAGGAGAGGGAGAACGCGAGATAGTACGTCGTACGTGAGAGGACGCAGAGACCACGTATGCCGTGGTGGCAGCACGGCAGCACACAATGCAAGGCTTAGCGCCAGTGCCTCGAACTTTTGAGTCGCGACAGTGTCCTCCCTACTGCCCTTGGGGACCCCTCTCCTTCACTCTAGAAGGGACTGGCTCTTGGGACCTAATCCTGACTCGTGGCGTTAACCTCTCTCTATGCTGGTGATGCTTTCCTTGTTGAGTGGTGAAGACCGATTTCAAGTTCCGGTTGCCTTCCTGACCTTCCAAAACATCCTGCTGACGGTCTAGATGAACTCTTTTACATACCAACATGTTTCGCAATGAAAATAATTGGACTTGAAGAAATTTGGACATTAATTAGGGGACAACCCAATCTTTTTAGATCATTACCTTTGCCATTTATGGGCGTCGGAAATCTACTGAGAATTCAGTATTTCATTATGGATTAGATCAGGAACATGCACGAAAAAGTGCAGAATACAGTAAAGCCTGGTTAGCAAAATGATCTGCTAACACAGCGCTGCGTAGCTCGTTCCTAATTTGGCACACATTCCAACAAACCGCTACTTTACATTTGGCTGGAAATGCTCTCAGATGTTCTATGGGAAATCCCACGATTCCACTAATCTTCTGGTTGAACAAAACAAAACACGCTAGAAAGTATTGCCGATAGCTCAGCATTGTTGTAGTAACCTTTGGCAAACTGCGAAAGAAAAAGCAGTTCACAATCAAAAACCAATCACGATCATAGAAGAAAAGGAACAAGGTGGGGTGTGACTGACCCAACCCTCTACTCAGGCGACAGCAAAAGGTGTTGAATGACGAACTATCAGAACTCACTCTTCGGTAGTCATTCCCTCCCCATCTGCATCATAGTTCATGCCTCGTCAACAACGAGCTGAATGCTGTGAACGAGGTTTTCAAGGAACTCAGTCCGATATTAGGAAATAAATCCTCGCTATATCCGTATACTGCAAGCCCTGCGGTAAATTTAGTAGTTGAATCGAAAATGCTCTGACTGGTGCTAGCGATGAAGCTGCTCTCCTGAAAGTAATTGCAGTAGGTACAAACACAATAAGCACATGTACATGTCTATGCAGATGCATTTAGCTATTACAAAATTTTTTCAGTAATACATACATTAAGGGCGGATTTGCGATGAGAAGACAGCCCACTATATTCAAGGTATAGGTGGTCAGTTGCAGGGATCAAGAAAAAAAAGGTAACAAAAATGGTCCAGGACCCGAGGAATGGCCTCATTTTGTCCACTGATTTGCGCGTTAGGCGTGTCTCATCGGTGATGACCTCGTGACAACGAACGCGCTTTCAGCAGAACGGCTAGAGTCACGTGGTGAGGCGGCGCTGGTGTTCGTGCTAGGCCGCTTACTTATACTTTTCTCTACCTTTTAACTAGCTATGTTTACTCTTCCTCGACCTCCAAGACTCATATAGGAATCCTTCTTCAACAAACGCATTAGATTTATGACATCTGTCAGTTCTTTGAACAAAATATAATTCAAATTCGCGACGCCGCGCGCGGTGAGCCAACCTGAGGTATTCGGGAGACCTGATATACACCCAGGTTCCACTATAAAGTATGGAGGTCGAAGGGGAATAATACCCAGCAAAAAGCAGCGAACAGTATACCAGAATGGCCAGTATGCACGAAAGAAGAAAAGACCGCGAAACTGTATATACACTGCGTTTCATAAATATAGGTCCACCCTAAATTTTTGCTATTCAAACTCGCTGAGCATTTTCGGAAAATGCAGCTATCACCAATAAATTTCTCATAACGAAAGATTATGTTTTTCTGAAGAAATTCCCCCCTTAAGTAACCTAGATAACTTTTCCGGATCGAATTTTCACAGTTTTATGATTGTAGGGCCACTCATGAAAAGTTCCCATTTCTCATCATCCGTGAAGAGAATCAGGAAAGTAGGCATATACACTTGCTAAGCCAACATCAAGTAACATCATACCGAGAATTTGCGGTGTTCTCTTCGTTAAGACAATTTCTCGACAAGTGATGTGTACTCATATAAAGAGGATATCTGAATAACTCTGAATCAGAATTTCTTCAGAAAATTAGTACCAGGGTTTTTTATCATGAGGAATCTAATGGTTATAGCAGGGTTTTCCGAAAATGCACAGCAATTCTGGAATAGCAAAATTTAGGGTGGACCTATATTTATGAAACGCAGTGTATAACGCTGAACAGTAAGCCTCCATTACTCGTTGATTTGCGCACTGATACGACTCTCATCGACGCTACTCCTTCACTAGGGCACTCTCTGCAAAACGGTTAGAGACTCAGATACGAGAAGATCGAGAGGTGGGGGGGGGCGTACCGGGCTATCAACGCGTCAACTGCGGGGAGGATGCAATGCTAGACCCTTCGTTGCGAATTGGCGTTTCGGTTCGGAGTTCTCCTGTCCCGCCACTAGGTAAACTTTCCCTTTCGAACTTCGTCCTTGTCTTGGAAACCTTCTTTGAAGGCACAACCCAGGCAGAGGTCGTGTGAACGCTTCCTTTCGGTTTAGTATAGACCCTAGAGGACAATCACAAATGTGGCGTTCCCGTGCACGGAAACCAACCGACAAGAGCGCTTGGGCCTTGCAAAGTAAGCTGCTGAAGCTGCAGACTTTTTTTATCAGGCTGTTGTCTGGCGCTCTCTCATCTGTAGCGCTCTCTCGCCTCATACTCTCCTCGCGCTTAGTCTCTCTCATTCCCTTAGCACAGCCGATTAGAAGGTGAGTGAACCTGAGCGTTTTCGACGGATTCTTTTCCTTTTTTCTTTACTGCCGGCCCATTTCGCACCAATACATTCGCATTCGTGTGCAAGAGTCATATAAAAACCATTTGAGAGGGTGCGCTTTTGTTTTGTTAAGGACGTCTACTTGAAGCAACGATTCCAGATCGAATTCTCGGGCTGAAAGCGGTCGATAATGAAATTGTGGAGTCGATTGAGGCAAGGAAAACCGAAGCCTTCAAACATAGACTCCCTCTGTTCCCTTAAAATAGGAAAGGGGCGAGCCGGACGATCTGTGCGAACTTGCTTGTCAAGAGCGGTTATTACTGAAGACCTGCAACCGTTTTGTATGTAAGGAAGAAACATATAGGTTCTAAACTTACAGTTTCTGACACAAAACGGTGCTCTTTTATTCAAGGAGCATTCAAAACTCCAGCGCAGGCGAGAGTACCAAATTGAGCGGTTCAAAGAACAGAGTTCAAACAACCGCACATGTCTACGTTTCAAAACGCGCGAATAGATGGAAAGAAAGTGAGCGCAGACAAGGTTTAGGATGAGCTAAGGCGTCGACACATGTTTAAGTCCCTTATCGGTTTTCCACGGTGAATTTTTTAAGTGACGCTTCTTATGTTCTTGACCAATGGCTCACGTATCATTTCCTCACCATAGTATCAAAAGTATGGACCCTGCTGGGACTGTTGATTAATGATGCCTATATTGAGAAGAAGAAGAGCAAATTCCACAGAGAAAAACTCACTTTGTCATATGCCGTTTGATTTGAATCAAAATTGTAAAGGTCTCCTGCGAAGAGGCAGGTGAGGTTCTCCTTAGGCATCACTGCAAAAAAAGGTGTTGCTCAGAAAATAATTAGTTGTAGGTTTAGCCCATAATTTAGATTAGAGCGATACTCGCTTTGATTCAATTGTCGAATCGGCATCCTTGAATTAGGAAATACTAAGATACTTCTTCAAATTTATAGTTTGATTTGAACCTGTCGGTTGGGCCGTTGACATCGAAGTCGTCACTGCGTTTGTGCTTGATGAGATGGTTGTTGATATCGGCTCAGTGGTCACTGAAGTTGCTACGGTTGTCGTGCTTGATGGAAGCAAGGTGGTTGAAGGTGACGTTAAGGTTGCACTAGCCGTTGAGGTGATCGACGTCGAAGATGCGGTGCTACCTGTGGAAGCAATGGTAGTCGATGTTGGTGAGGTGGTTGTCGAAGTCGACGATTGAGTACTGCTGGTTGGAGCGCTAGTCGAAGTTGATGACGTGGTTGTTGAAGAGGACATTGTAGTACTCGTGGGGACAGTGGTTGTCGATGTTGGTGAAGTAGTTGTCGATGTTGGTAAGGTGGTTGTCGAAGTGCTACTGGTCGGCGCGCTAGTCGAAGTTGATGACGTGGTTGTTGAAGAGGACATTGTGGTAGTACTTGTGGGAACAGTGGTTGTCGATGTTGGTGGGGTAGTTGTCGATGTTGGTGAGGTGGTTGTCGAAGTCGACGACTGAGTGCTGCTGGTTGGAGCGCTAGTCGAAGTTGATGACGTGGTTGTTGAAGAGGACATTGTAGTACTCGTGGTTGTCGATGTTGGTGGAGTAGTTGTCGATGTTGGTAAGGTGGTTGTCGAAGTGCTACTGGTCGGCGCGCTAGTCGAAGTTGATGACGTGGTTGTTGAAGAGGACATTGTGGTAGTACTTGTGGGAACAGTGGTTGTCGATGTTGGTAAGGTGGTTGTCGAAGTGCTACTGGTCGGCGCGCTAGTCGAACTTGATGACGTGGTTGTTGAAGAGGACATTGTGATAGTACTTGTGGGAACAGTGGTTGTCGATGTTGGTAAGGTGGTTGTC